GGAGCAGCGCGCTCGGGCTCCCGGCGGGGGGTTTCGGGGGTGTTTGGGGGGGTCTGCGTAAGGTACAGCACAACAGCGCATCCGTGAAGTCGGGTCGTGGCGTGGTATGTGCCGTGGCTGGAATCCCGGCACATCCTGGAATACCGGGTAACCGGTACGCTGCGTCCAACCGGGCAGGGCACGGCAGAAACCCTCCCTTCCCGCTGCCCGCCTGACATTGATCGTCTTGCTGGTTTTAGGTCTGGAAAGCAAGGTCCGAGAATGGTGAAGCTGGGGAGTAATTTAAACGACAAGAACAACAAACAACCATCCAACGAAGATGGTTTTCAGACAGTTCCTTTGATCACACCTTTGGAAGTAAATCACCTGCAGTTCCCAGCTCCGGAAAAGGTAAAATGAAATCAAATGGCGCTCCTGCATGATTCTGCACACACACACGTGCCCCGTGGTTCTCACTGCCCTGGTGACTTACTGGTCTCTGATGACACGAACTGTGGCATAGTGTTTATTCAGTAAATAAAACGGGGATATCTTTCATTGTGTGTTTATCTGTTTTAATGTGGCAAATAAGCACGCAGCTGTCCCCAACCCCTTCTCTTCTCAAAAAAAACCCAAATATTCCTTCATAAATACAACTGGAAAAGGCTTGGTGTGTTTCTCTTGCAAGTGCTGGGGAAACCGAGGAGCAGTTTGCAGCGCGTTATTGCTAGAAGATTAATTGCCTGCGTTGAGAGTAATGCGATAACTCTTTTGAAATAAGCAGCTATTTTAATTATTTCAGTTAGGGTTTGTTTTCTTTGCCACGGCTGCGCAAAGCTTATCTGGGCATGGAGGATGCTGATTTCTCTGAAGAGAGCGTCTGGGATCCTCCATGCACGGGGTAGTGATGGAGCAATCCCGGGATTCGTTTCCCCCATTGGCTCCAGCCAGGGGACAGCTTTCTCCCCTGCCCACTCAACACTCTCGGAGCTGAATGCAGCACTAAAATGTCCAGAAATGTGCATCGGCGATTGGCTGCGGTGTGGTGGTTGGGGTTTTTTGGATGCAGTATGTGCTAGGAAATCTTTTGTCTATATCGATGCAGTGACGATGCATATCCATATAACCTGCTGAGGACATGATGAGACCATAAAAATCCGCATGCCCCAGCAGTGCTTACAAAAACAAAGCCTGTCTGCAATGTAGTTCCCAGATACCACAGAGATGGAGCCAACTCTCCTGAAAGTACAGACAGAATGATTAGATCTCACAGGGTAATGGAATAATAGTAAAATTAACACTGATGATTATTGAACACATATCCTGTTTTTACTATAGTGCAAAATGAATTTTCTCTAAATACGTTAGGTGAACATGATGATGGAGATCATAAAACTGTCTAGATAGACAAACTGTGTTTATTTTATGATAGAGCAGAGTCAACTGTCTTGACATCCTGGGAACCACCAGACAAAGGAGCTGGTTTCGTTCTCCATGTGCCTCATGGCAATCAGAGCAACTTCGCTGCATTCAGCAGTGTTACACTTCCATGAATTGTTGTGGATGAGAGGCTAAACCTGCCTTTATCTATGACTCTGATAAATGAGATTAAGCAAAATAATTGAGGCAAAGCAGTGTGATTTATCATAAACATCTGAAAAGCTCAGAGGAATCTATAGATGTGTAAAAGTAGCTCATCTGATGCTAGTACAAATGTCTCATTGAGATCATGCAGTGTCACAAAATTTAAATGACTCATGTATCAGGTGAGACATAGATACCCTAACAAAAATCCTTTCGAGCTAATGAAGTGGTAATGATTGTTCTCACGACCACCACGTTCCAATTGCCTGTTGGTGAACAAACACTGGAGTGTATTGGTCTGGTGTGATTCCTTGCTGATTTTTCTGTTTAAACATGCCTACATCAATAATTCACATGTTGTTAGGTTACATTACCTTCATTAGCATACATTACTGTCAGTACATCT